CTGTAAACTATGGAATTACATAATTTATACAGTTTAGAGTAGTATTCCAGTCACTGTGCAGCGGGAGAATGAGTACAGCGACCACTGAATAAGTCCTTGTTTTTTGATTTTGTGTTCATACAATTTACTACTGTAATGTACATTTTCTTTTTACATATGTGTGAAACTTTCTTTGCGTGTGAATAAAAAATGGTTATCATTTCCTTGGTAGTGTGAGTGCAATCTGTGATGTCAAACCTTGGAGGCTACTCTTTTTTGTTGTATATTGTTGGTCCTCTGCCATAGTGACAAAACATCTAAACATTTTGTATGGCAGTACTCACACAATGCCAAAGGGACGATGCATTTTGGGGGCACTGACTATTCAGATTAGAAAGAAATGTAGTTTTGACACATGAGTGAACTGTTTTAGGGGAGAGATGAGCTTTTGCAGGTGGACCATGTTGTTGTGATCAACCATCCAGGTTTATTTTGACAAAAGCACCAAGAATGATGAGAATGTCCGATCTGTGTCGAGAAATGAGCCAAAGCTATTGAGAAGGATTGTTGCCATTTTGGAGACACTGACTGTTTAAATGGGAAAGGGGTTTAGATTGAAGCCTGAGTGAACAGTTTTGGAAGAGATATGAGCTTTTGCAGGTGAGCTATAGTGTTGTGCTAAACTGTCAGAGTGTTTTGCCAAATGATCTTAGAGTTTTGAGAATGTAATTTCTGTTTCAAGAAATGAGCCAAACCAATGGAGAAAAACTGTAATTGTAACATGTTGCACTGCAGTGCAACTAAGATGTCCTAACAAAAGTACAACTGTACCAATAACAATTAATATCTATAATCAACATAATATGTGTATACATGACATATTTATTTAATTTATTTTTGAGTGATCATGGTGGGCTTCCTGCCAGGGCCAAATTTTTGTCCCAGTCCAGTGTAAAAATTAAAAGTAAGTATTTAAAGTAAAAAAAAAGTATTTACTAAGACAAAATTTTGTGTAAGAAGTGGGACCTGATATTTTTGTGACTCACCCTCTTGCATATGCATTTCTGTGAGTTTCTTTCTCACGGTGTGAAACATGGTGCCAACTACTAACTAATGTTTGCAACATGCAAAGTACTGCTAATTGCGGCAATATTTAACACTGAAAAAAAGGACGTTATTTTATTATCTTATGGGACTTATGGGAAACTATTATTATTATTGCTTATAATATTTGTCTTTTGCTATTGCAGCAATTATTGCTGAGGGGTTAATAATTAATTTTCTGTTCTTTTTGAGTTACCTGGCTGCTGTTAGTTTTTCTGTATTATGTTTAGTTATTGTCCCTGTGGTTTTCCCCTCTGCTGTCTCTCATTTGGGCAGGTCAGTTTGTTGAGTTATGATATTTAGTTAAGTATTATTTTTTTTGAGCAGAATTCTGTTTAGTTGACCTCTGTTATAGGCTCAATTAGTTCTTAAAATAGCTTATTCTGTGACTGTATATTTTTGAAATGGGGCTATAATAAAACTCATATTTTGAAGAATACACCTGTTCCTGTATGTTCTTGGCTGCTTGGTCTCTAATACTCCACTTGTGTCAGTTTATTAGGAATGTCAGACAAAAATGTGATTAAAACATATAATTACCACAAACCCTGGAAACTTCACTCTAATGAAATCATGCAATATGCTAATTGTAACAAATCTTCTTTCAGCTCTTCACTTTTTGGCTTTGAGTTCATTTCAATGTACTATAGCTTCTGTGGCAGGAAATTTATTAGCTTTGTTCCAGGTGGTGACGTTACTAATGAAAAGAGTGTAGAGGTCCAGCTCATTCCCAACTAGCGAGGATGCCCTTCAGCAAGTAAAACAGGAGTTTCAAACTAACCAAATACATTAATCCCTGAAACTGACCATGTGTTCCATAATAGGAAGTACACATTCTCAATTATTGTGCAAGTATTTTGCTAATCTATAAACATTATAATAAGCGTGATGTCCAGTGGTATATCCAGGGTCTGTTTATGATGCCTCTGTTTTCCAGGGGAGCAGACTTTTTCAAAAACTGTAGGACGGAGAGTATAGAGAAGATTGGCTTTTAGGAGTATCTTTTTTATTTTCCAATGATCAGGATTTCATTATGATGAGCATCTTAGTTCAAGGTGTTCATGGAAATTACCCCTTAGACTCATGGATTATGGCACAGGTTCAAAGCCTGACCACATCACCAGAGCAGCGCTACAACCATGGCCACATCTGTACCCGAAGCATGTCAGTTACCGAAGCCTGTTTCCATTATAATGACTCTGTTTGTCAGACTAACACCGTAGGCCTACATTTAACGTGCATGTGTGTGTCAGTTGTTTAAAGGGTCATTGTGCTGGCTGTTTTACCATTTGACACTCAAAAGTGTTCCCAATGCCATATTCTGAAATCAATTCATTAAAATAAACTAACATCCAAATGACATCCTGACAAACTTGACTTTACTTGTAGAACTGTGATTATGTACAAATGTAGGTATAATATGCTTACATTTGCATCATGTAAAGTATATGGTATACATGACCTATATGTCTGGTTTCTCTCTGGCCTCCAGGACACTTCCTTATCAGTCCATCTAATCCTTGTCATCCATGATGAGTGAAGCTTAAACTCAATGTTCCAGTTATATTTCCAAGTACGCCAAGTATTTTGCTAAACCAGATACTGCTGCAGTCATACTCTTATGTCTGGGTCACAATGCTTTTGCATTTCCTCACGTCCTATACACTTCCTGATATGAGCTGGAGTTGACTCACCAAGTTTGACAAGCTCTCTTGTAATGCCGATGTCAGGCTTTGAGTATTTTCACAGCAATATCAGTGGGGTGGGTGGGTTTGTTGATTTTAAATATTTACGCCGTAGCTGCATCCATTCAGTAGACGTGGTAAAAAGTCACCTCTGCTGAAATGTGCACAGCAGTTGAAATTTTCCCTATTCAAGTCTAAAGCCCAAGTTCAAGAGTCACATTGTGTTTTTTTTGCCCTGTCTCCCTCCCCTTATTCTCAACAAGTTTCATTTCAAGTCAATACAATTTTATTTATATAGAGCCAAATCACAACAACAGTTGCCGCAAGGTACTTTGTCTTCTAATATAAAAAAATGAATGCAAGGAAAACAGAGAAAATCCCTACAATTATGTGTCCCCCTACGAGCAAACACTTTGGGGACAGTGGGAAGGAAAAACTCGGGGAGGGGGAGCCATTTGCCGTGACCAGTTGGGGCCAGGCCAGGAATAAAGTCTATTAGATAGATAAGATGGAAACCACCTCATACACTTAATACCTACAGCATGCTGTAATCTGTAATAAAATATGGTTAACAGGATCAAACATCGCACTGACTGAGGTGAGTCAACAGTCAGAGCACACAAGATCATTTCATTAATGCTTTGCTTTGCTGTGATAAGCTCTGAAACCTGACTGAAACTCTTTAAACCACTGCTCTGCAAATCAGTAAGCTGTTTTACAAATACTCCTTCAAGAAATTTAGAGATAAAAAGAAATTTGGTGTATTATTATAGCTAAGACAGTTGGGTTAAGTGGTGGCTTTTCAAGTAACAGTTTAACTACTGCCCCCTTAAAAGCCTGTGGTATGTAGCCCATTAATAGAGTCAGACAGATTGTAATAAGACTGAAGCATTAATTACTTCCATTCTTAGAGCTGTCTTATAGAAATGGGGTCTAATAGACACTTTGATGGTTTGTATGAAGTACTTAAGTTAGAGAAAAGAATCTAAATGGATATCAGTAGTAGTTGAAGTGACAGTGCATAATGTGTCTGTGAAGGTTCTCAGACATCCAGGTCATCGTAGTCTACGGAGCTTGGAAAAAAAACGTCTGGACTTTTTAAAGTTTCCTTGAAGACGTTTCACCTCTCATCTGAGAAGCTTCTTCAGTTCTAAGCATAATTGTTGGAGAGTCCAATTTCTGGTCGTCCCTAGTTGGTGTCTGGTCTTCTTTTTGTGCATCTTTGCTGACTTGATGAAAGACCAATTAGGATTACCACATGTTTTAAGAGCCTGGGCCATCTGACCTCAATAAATCTCATGATAGGACTGGGCTAGGTTTCACACCTTGGCTCCTGTGACTCAGTAGAGGATCAATAGGGGGTCCATGACCCTTTTGGGGACACTCTCATAGGGACTCTCCACCAATTTTTCTTTAACCTGATAGCTCTTAGCACCTGTTATTGTGATTGTATTGTTCTGTGAGTCATGCTATTTTTCAATCTTTAAAACAAATAAAAAGATTTGAAATTTGAACACTTAAAACACTGGGAAGCCTTTTTTACTATTAATTTATTAATATTAAAATTCATTAATTTTTAGTACTAATTAGTATCAGATAGTGGAATCCACTGGTATACTGTTATCACTTTCACGATTCATTAACCGTAAGACCTTTCTAGACTCCCTTAAGACTCCCTCAAGGTGGTGTTGGAGAGGCGGATGTTGTCCAAGATAAAGACAATGTTGGATAACACCTCCCACCCACTCCATGACATGCTGGTCAGTCACAGGAGCACGTTCAGTGAGAGACTGAGATTACCGAAAAGCACCACTGAACGACACAGGAAATCTTTCCCGCCTGTGGCCATCTCCCTGTACAACGCATCCACTTAACACACTGGTTACTGCTACAACTACACATGTTTCTTTTACAGCTATTTATTAATGAGTGACTTTGTATATATATATATGTATATATTGTACTATTCTTAGTTAGCGTATTGTCTGTCTTGTTAATGTTTGTTTATAATGGAGCACTGTAACAAAAAAAATAATTTCCCCCAGGGATCAATAAAGTATTCTGATTCTGATTCTGATTTCTGTTTGTGGAGGATTAATTCCATCATGTTTCACATCATGTTTTTAGTGAGAATCCTCAATAAACTTTATTTCAACATTGTTAATATATAATCTTATATTATTATTTAAGATTGAAATTCAAATTCAGCTTGTACTTATAAAGATCATATACCTTCATTTTTTTGGCTTCTGCACGACTCTTGTAGCAAAACTCGACCAGTGCCACCATCATGGCTAATCCCAGACCTCCAACCAGGATGTAGAAGACTCCTGCTACATTACTAAGAGAGAGTGCGCTGGTCTTCTCCTAGTATGCACACACACAAACACACACACACACACACACACACACACACACACACAAGGAAGAAAAATCATCAGAAACCCCAGAGAAAGTTCTAGCGGCATGCTCTTATATTAATAGCTAACTTTATTTACTGGGAAGGTCTACTCAAAAGTAGACTCAAACTGAACCTAAATCAGTCAAGCTAAATATATTATAAATGACCTAGATTAAAACTTTACATGTAGAACACTGTCCTCAACCTTAATCATTCTGTGTCTCTGCATATAAGAAATATTTCAAGCCTTTTTTGTTTTATTTTTTAATGATTATGGCCTCAAGTTAATGAAAATCAAAAAGCCAGGATCTCAGATTATTAGAATATTTCAAAGTGATTATTGCAACCTTGGTGTCAAAAAGGTCAGGAACTGGGACAAGCTTCACAATACTAAATAATGATAACAGAAATAAATTTTATCTGTCACCCCCTCCTTTGATTTTTTTACGTTACCGTGTTGGAGAGGTTTGCATGCCCTAGTGATCCTGGAAGTTATGTTTCTAGGGCCGATGGCACCTCGTAGGATCCTGGGTGAGAGGCTAAGAGCAATTCAGAACAGTCTTATGATGATTGAAAAACCAAGGGCCCAAGTTACCTTTCTTGAGCTCCACAGTGGAGCGAGGGCAAGAGCCTGAGAACAAAGAGCCTGCAATAGAGGTATGGTAATGGCTGGGGTGTTGGGAAAGTAGAGGCCCTGATGTTCTGAAATTTAGCTTTCAAATTTGGCTACAGGGACACGGAATCTGACCTCTTTAAAGGGGAAGGACCTTGAGCTTGTCCATGAAGTTGAGAGAGACATGAGGTTGAGTTGGACTCACCTAATCACGTAACTTGCACATCTTAGGTTCTAAAACCAGCTATATGTATTGAACACTTGGATGAAGAGAGGAGCTGAACCTGTAACTGTTTAGTATCTGGTAGTCAGTTGGATCAGGTAGCGGGGGAAGAAGCCCGACACATCAGTTGCACAATAAAATACACTGAGTGAGCTGGCTACGGCCCAGATCTGTGAGATCTTCAACTCCCACAGCAGCATCAACATCATTCCAAGGCAGGCTGGGTACAGTGTTTGAATGGACAGTATTATTCATCTAAGGCTAAAGCAGCTGTCGGGAACTATTGTCATAAGGTAATTGGTGGATGAGGGGAACAACTTGCACATCACTTGGGCCCTGCACCCAGAGAGACCACAACCAATCTGTTCACTCTGTGTTCCTCAAGGCTCTTGCCGTTTTGGCCCTGTCTTGGTTGATATGCCTCTTTAACACTGTGAAGGTCTGGGGTGGTACCTCTGGATTGGCAAACTAGAGTGATGGTTCCTCTTTTTAAGAAAAGGGACTGGTAGTTGTGGTAAAACTTCAAGGGGTATCAACTTCTCAGCTTTCTGGTTGTGGAACATCAGAGCAGTTCTCCTCTTGTGGAAATTGGAGCAGACATGGGAATTTGCCCAATTAAACAGAATACATGTGTGTGGCAGAAGTGTGGTCCATGGCTCAGCTGCAGGGGAGGGGTGGAGCAGTGAGCTCAAGGGGCAGTGACAGGGAGGTTGGTGGCACAGGTGTGTTTTGTTTTAGTTATTGAGCTCTTTCTCTCTTCCTGTGTGATTTAGTGAAGCCGGAGCAGAGAGTGGAGAGGTGTGTCAGAGTGCAGCTGGAAAGCTGCGCCCATGGGTGCCGAGCCAGAATAACGACAAAGAAATTGTCAGCAGTGTGTGTCACAGCAATAAAAAGGGAAAATAAAAATAATAAACAGTGTGTCCACTTTTGGTCCATCTTCACACTGGTGCCAAAAACCCTGTTGCCATGTCGGACCCGTAAGCCATGCCACTAGTGCAGCCACTGCAGATTCCAGGCCTGCCGGATGATGGAGGAGGAGCAACCGTTTGCCTGGGCCTGGAACCTGCATGATGCGGCGGCGAGGTGGCTACAGCCCGGGCAGTCCAGAAGGGGAGGCACACATGCTAGGGAAAGTTGTGCAGGAGCAGTCCATGGAAAAGGGCTGTCTGCAGACACATCGCGGTGGGTGCATTGCCACCAGTCCGCGAGTGTGGGGGTGGCGGTCCTTTTTGCTGGCAGCCAGAGCGGAGGGGCCAGAGAGGGCAAGACAGCCAACAGGGACACAGGCCCTGGTGACAGTGCTGAGGCGATGGTTTCCAGCAACTGCTCTGGTGGAGCGCGCCCTACACTGCACCTCACTAACCCCTTTCTCTCCATTCTGCCTTCCCAGGGCCCGGAAGGGGCTGGCGCTGCACCCTAGCTATGGAGGGCGGCACATTGTTTATTGTTAGAAGACAGGCTATATCGAGTGAGCCGTGACACTCGCACGGAGGAGACACACACCCAGTTGTTGGTACCACAAAGCCGCCGAGAAATGATTTTCCAGGCAGCTCACTATAACCCTGCCTGGAAATAGGGTATATGGGATTTGACAAGACTCTGGAGCAAATTATGACCCAATTTTATTGGCCAGGTATCCGAGAGGATGTGCACCGCTGGTGCGCATCTTGTCCGGAATGCCAACTCATTAACCAGCCAGCCATACCAAAAGTGCCTTTGCGCCCCCTACCATTATTGGAGGTCCCATTTGAAAGTATTGGCATGGACCTCATCGGGCCATTTCACCGGAGTACAAGTGGCTATCACTTTGTATTGGTTCTAGTGGATTATGCAACGCCAGAAACACCCAGAAAAGTGTCGTTGCAAACCATCACTGCAAAGAGTGTGGTGCAGGCACTGTTTCAGGTCATCTCCCGAGTCCGTATTTCGAAAGAAATACTGACTGACCAAGGCATGTGGTTCATGTCTGAAGGAACTGTACAAATCATGGGGCATTAAATCTATTCAGACCAGCGTCTACCACCCTCAGACTGACGGGCTGGTGGAGTGGCTGAATAAGACTTTAAAGTTCATGATTCTGAAGTTCATACATGAGGATGAACGCAATTGGGATCACTGGTTAGACCCTCTGCTAGTTGCAGTGCGGGAGGTGCCCCAGGCCACCATGGGATTTTCTCCCTTTGAACTACTGTTTGCCAGGAAGCCGTGTGGGGTGCTCAACCTAATTCATGAAAGCTGGGAGGAAGGTCCAGCAATGTCAGCAGCATCTGTATAACTGTGCTTATATTACTACCTTCTTCTAGCTCTAAACTACTCACAAAGTGGCAAGGGCCCTTTGTGGTCACACAGCGAATGGGGAACGTTGACTATGAGGTCTCGTGGTTGGACAGAGAGGGGGCCACACAGATTTGTCATCTCAACCGCCTTAAAGCATGGAGAGAGACTAAAACTGTGTCTCTGGTGAGCCGGGTCAAGGAGAGAGATAAGTTGGGGCAGGAAGTACCAAATTGCACCATTCTCACCTCCCTCCATTGCAACGACCATCTCACACAGGCCCAGAGAGCTGATGTTGCCACATTGCAACAGTGCTTTGCAGACATGTTCTCCCCCCTGACCAGCTGTACGTCTCTCATCAAGCATAATTTTGAAACGCAACCTGGCGTGACAGTGCATTCATGACCCTACAGGCTTCCTGAACATAAAAGACAAATTGTTCAGATGGAATTGGCTGAAATGCTAAAAATGGGAGTAATAGAAAAGTCAAACAGCACCTGGTGTAGCCTCATAGTTCTTGTAGTGAAGAAAGATGGGTCTATATGGTTCTGTGTCGACTATCAAAAGATGAATAAAGTGTCATGCTTTGATCCTTAACCCATCCCCTGGGTTGACGAGCCCATGGACCAGTTGGGCACGGCCAGTTTTTTCATGACACTGAATTTAACCAAGGGCTACTCACAGTTTCTCTTATCTGCAGAGTTCATGGAAAAAGTGGCCTTCTCCACTTTTGTATGGTTTTTGCCAGTTCGGTACACTTCTTTTTGGCTTGTTTGGGCCCCGGCCAAATATCAGCACCTCATGGACTGGGTGCTGCGGCTGCACACTGCATATGCTGCCGCCTACCTGGATGATGTTATCATCTACCGTGACACCTGGGCGGAGCATGTGCAGTGGGTGGCAGTGGTCCTGGAGTCCCTGAGGCAGGCGGGGCTCACAGCCAACCCGAAGAAGTGTGCAGTTGGACAGAGGGAGGTACAGTATCTGGGGTACCACATGGGAGCCAGGCAGGTGCGTCCACAGGTGGAAAAGACAGCAGCTACTGCACCCTGCCTGCGCCCCAAGACAAAAAAAGAAGTGAGACGGTTCCTGGGGCTGACAGGTTACTATCACTGGTTTGTGCCCGGGTTTTTTGACCTGACCAGCCTCTTGACTAATCTCACCCGAAAGGGTGCTCAAGATCTGGTCCAGTGGACACGGCTGTGCTAGGCGTTTGAGCAGGTGAAAAAATATCTCAGTGGGGAGCCACTGCTCCACACTCCAAACTTTTCTGTCCCTTTTCTTCTGCAGACTGATGCCTCAGAGCGCTGGGGGCCGTTTTGTCCCAGCAGGCAAGGAGGGTCGACCGGCCCGTACCCTACATCAGCTGGAAGGAAAAGGAGTGCCTGATGTTTCTGGCTCCCCAGCCTCAGTTGGGCGGTGGTGGTGTGTGGCGGAGGTGTGGTCCATGGCTCAGCTGCAGGGGAGGGGTGGCACAGGTGTGTGGTGTTTTAGTTAATGAGCTCTCTTTTCCAGCTGGAAAGCTGCACGCATAGGTGCTGAGCCGGGAAAAACGACAAAGAAACTGTGTGTGTCACGGCAATAAAAAGGGAAAATAAAATGGCCTGTATTTGTATAGCGCTTTACTAGTCCCTAAGGACCCCAAAGCGCTTCACACATTCAGTCATCCACCCATTCACACACACATTCACACACTGGTGATGGCACAGGCGAGGCTGCCAGACACTCGCGCCACCGGGCCCTCTGACCACCACCAGTGGGCAACGGGTGAAGTGTCTTACCCAAGGACACAACAATGTGTTTTGTGGACTTGAAAAGGCATTTGACAGTGTCCATCGGGATGTACCTCCAAGTCTGATGTCATGATTTTCAGCTGGAAATAGATGGACTGCCCACTATGGGTTAGGAATGAGATGCTGCGTGGAGGAGTATTTTGAAGTCTTGCAAGTGAGGGAAGGGAGGAGTAGGAGATTAACAACAAACTGGTAGCGCCTCAGTGACAGATCTTTACCTTGATACCTATAAATTTTGTTTCAGAGATAGTTCCTTCCTCAATGGGCAGAAAAGGTCTGTTAATACACTTTTTGGTTAGCATTATACATGTGAATATTGTTGAACTGTCTCTGTTCTTGACATTACCTAAAGCAAGTAATCCATACTAACTACTGTGGAGTCTTACCGTGTATATTGAATGTGTGAACAGACAGTGTGTTTGACTGACCCACAGACATAAAACTAACCTTATTTGTGGAGTCCTTGAAGCCACATTCTCCTTTATCGTACCACCACTTGTTTTTCATCTTGTCTAGGGTCCCTTGCTCATTCAGTTTCAATACGGCAAGGTTTACTGGCACTCTTCAATGGGAATAACATAAATAACATCATTATCAATGTTATCTTATGTTATTAATGAGGCAGCGGTTCTCAAACTCTGGTCTAGCCACCAAGACAGGTCCCTCATGTGCTACTAATTATTCATCATTAAAACTTTCATTGCAGTATTTGAAAAGATTACTTTCAATGTAAAGATCGTCTAATGGCTTTCTTTATTTTGTATGAGACACCTTTTAGCAAGTTCACTGTCTGCTGATTGTCAAATATTAAATACTAAAAATATTTAGACTTGACCATGAACAGGAAGTCTGTAAAGACTCTGTGGAATAATCTTGTTTAATTTGGCAAAGCTGCTTAAAGAAAATCTTGTGTTGTCAGGGCCTTTCTGCTTGGCACTGGAGACAGAGAATGAGATGTGCTCAGCGAAAAGGCTTTCTGCTTTTTCAGTAGCAGTACTCCTCCAGGGCAGAGCCATTGATAAATAGAGTTTGGGCAGTTGCACAATCTCTTTATCGACAGCTCTTCTCCTGCACTGTTGCTACCATCTGGTGTGAGGTCACCTGACCCTGATCTGTAAGTCCTCATCTGCCTGCAAGTGTGCTCTGAACCTGACCTCAACCAAACAGGGGCAACATATCAGTAAAAGAAGCATTACAGACTACAATGCTACATGTTCTGGTTCCTTATTGCATCTGCTAAATCTAGTAGTTCTAGCGTATTAGTTTTTCTTTGTTCTTCAATTTCTGTAGGGGGTTACAGCTAGCTACTTGTGTTTGATGTCACATGTGGCATTGTAACTCTGTTTCTTCTTTACACTTTTTACATTTAATAACCCAGTGTCACCTGTGTGTTGTGTGCTGTAGTGTATGTGTGTGTGTGTGTATTAACCTTGCTCTCCCCTCCTCCGCTGCCGCATTCTCCCTTGTCATACCACCACTTGTTTTTCAGTTTGTCCAGCAGCCCCTGCTCGTTCAACTTTAACACCGCCAGGTTCACCGCATTTCTACATGAACACAGTGGCTGTTAGCAGTTCAACTCTTGCCAGTGTCTGTCCTCCTGCTGATATGCATGTTAATAGGATGTAAATAATAATAATTACTGTAAACACAATAGAGATAAAAGGAAATCGATTTTCTCATAACAGTTATCTTGAAGTAATATTTATATGATATGGTGTTTTGGTGGCTACACTCATGGAAATCAGAATGTTGTATGGTATGTCAAATTTATATTTGTCGTTATAAAACAGAGATACACAGAGATGGATTTTTGGTTCTCATACAGTTGTCAAAAGTTTACATTCATCACTGAGATGAATGCCATAGTAATTTGGGGCTTTTATATATAAATATATCAAACTAAAACAAATACCTGGATCTCAAATATCTATAAAGATTACTTGAAAATATAACACTGAATGTGTGCAAGGTTGGAGTCAATATATTTTTGTAGTGTGGGGCTTAAAATCTACATAACTGCACTGTTAGGATTTAAAAGTACCAGTCGTACGCAGAAGTTGAGTGAGCAGTGCTTTGTCTTCCTGCCAGGTCCTCTTAAATCACATCTATTGACTTCAGAGGGTTAAGATAGTGTTTGTATATTTTTGAGTCCGCATGTAAACCTTTGACCATGTGGATTATAAAAAATAAATTTAAACTTGTGCATCCAATTCTTGTTTTTTTAAGTAATTGAAGATATATGCTGTACAATTATTCCACCCTGAAAAAAACCCCAGTTGTTCTTGCTCTGTAATTAAAGTAAGTAGAGTGCCCCTGATATCTTAGTATATTAGGTGTTAGCAGTGTGTTACGGAGGATGAAATAGACTGTCACTCAAACCTCCAGTGTAGAATTTAGCACTTTTTAAATAGCTTTTATTTTTATTAAACTGCTGCCCAATCCTGCCCATTTATACAACTGCAATCATTCATCAAATTGTTTTGATTTCTCTAGCTACACCTATGTAAAAAGTGTGAATCTGAACATAACATTCACACTTGAAATAGCTTTCAGGGTGATTCTAGTAAATGGCAATGATTAGGTCATTTTTTCGATATTTTGTAAAAGTTACAGCAATGAAAAATGATTGCATAATTAAACTCGGAGTAGCTGGAAAAGTGAAAGTGAGAGGTTTTGTAATTTGGTAAGACATATGTCTAGGGCTAGGTTAATGCCTTTGCAGATTACCAGTAATACTTTATTGGTATTATGGCATACCTTAGAATGATATGAAATATATTTAGAATGGTGAGCTGCTCAAATTCCAATTATAAATATCCATTATAAACCAGCATACCTTTATTATAATAAACTAGTACCTACTCTATAATAATGTTCCACATAACCAGACTAGGAGCTGATTGCACACACATTGTCAGTGTCATCTCATACTGATGCTTGGTCTTGAGTCCCTTTTAATCATATTTGCATTTAATGGTAGTGCCATTTTAAAATATTTTCTACCAACTGGAATTGTACAGGCTTGTTCAGTTTTGGTGGTTCTAAGCCTGTATGTATGCTATATTTCCATCCTGATACAAAACCGTTCCCTTTTAAATATATATATATAGATCTTGGATTAGATTACCAGATCATTCAAGGCACTGGTTGCCACTAGCAGCACCGTTAATAAAGAGGGTACTGGTAGAAACTATGAAGCAACAGTCAAGGAGAGGAGGAAAGACAGCTGATAAAGTAGGAGTATGAAGTTGAGAATCTAAACTGTGACTATTGTGGTGAAGGGAGGAATGAGTCTGAAATGATACAGAGAAGGAATTATTAATATATACATTTGTGCAAGTGATGAGGCAGAAGAGGATTAAAGCCAATAGCATAAGCAGCTATGGCTAACAGGAAGAAAAGGTCATGTGGTAATTCCGAGGTAGGTTGTTTGCACCCTGGCATTTCCAGTCAGCATATCAAAATGTCCTTTGGCAAGATACTGAACCAGTAAACACTAATTAAAATATATCTCAAATAATCAATGAACCTGCCAGGTCTAATATAAAGAACATTCCCTGAACTGTAATTTATCTTTTGTACTAATGGAAGTGACAGCGTCATTGGAGGTGTTGTTGTTTTTTTGGTTGTTGTGCTATGCTCTTGTTTGTTGTTGCAGAACCACCTTCTAGGAACCTAGAATTATTTTTAAGGGAAAAACAAGCTATTTTGCACAGTCTCACAGAAGCCAGCAGACCTGGGGAGGGAACTTAAAGGAGAATGCCTGGTGGCCGTGGCAACCCAAAGAGATAACCCACATAGCAGACAGGTCTGGCCTGGATCTGGTATTAAGCCAGCACTGCTGGCTGACTTCTGGCATGGTAAGTGGTATGTCATCCAGATATGGGTTTCAAATGCAGGTTTGACAGGTTTGTGAGTGTACACTTTAGCCAAAACCTAGTGAGGTTTACTCATGCTTATTACTGGGTGGTTGTATCTCAGGAGGTAGAGCAAATCACCTACTAATCCAAAGGTTATTGGTTCTATCCCTGGCTTCTCCAGCCTGCATGTCAGGAGTATAAATGTAGTTAGGAATCACTCCGTTTAAAGAAAGTGTGTGATTGGGTGAATCTGGCATGTTGTATAGAGCACTTTGAGTAATCCATGAGAGTAGAAAAGTGCTATATAAGAATCAGTTCATTCACTGTCTGAGTTTTGTCATGTTACTTTTGCACTATTATGTTCTGGCACATGTTGTTATTACATGGCTTGATTAAGGTACACATTAGGCTGACATCTGGGCCAGAGCTGAAACTGTGTGTGTCTGCAACTGGCATTGTGCAGGCCCATGTGTGGGACACCTCTGGCAACCAAAGGGCCGTCATTCTTTGCAGTATGTGGGCCATGTGTAAGCACATTGTGTGGGCCATACCAATTTTGCTATGTGGGAACATTGGCCTGTTCTCTTGTGTGCTCGCTATCTGCAGGAGGCATAACAGGGGTTTGGTGCAGCTGGTGTCAGGCAGCAGTCAGGGACTGAGGCAACAGGGAGGTCCCATCTGAGCTGTGCTGAATGATATTCAAAGTGCAAAGAAGTCTTGGAGTCATCCAACCAGGTGGGGCAGCTGCCAGTACCCCACCTGGTTGGGTACTTGGGTACATCCTAGGTCGCTCGATGATTGATTTTGTAATTGTATCATCATATCTGCAACAATGGGCTCTGGAGATGTGGGCGAAGTGGGGAACTGAGCTGTTAATCAATTGCCACCTAGTAGTAGGTTGGATTAGGTGGCAGGGGAGGATGGTAGACAGGCCTGGCATGACCAAACGTATAGTGAGGGTGGACTGGGAGCTTCTGGCAGAAGCCCTGGCCTGTGAGATCTTTAACTTTCACCCCCAACAGAGCTTTGACAGCATTCCAATGAAGGCTGGGGACACTATGTTCTGTACTTCCACTGTTGTGCAGAGCTGTAGCTGCAATGTGGTTTGTGCCTATATAAAAAAAAACTTGACTTTGACCTTGTCATAGTGGCAATCCCCAAACTAGATGGTGGAAAGCGGTTGTGAAGGGAGCAATCAACCTGAAAAGCAGTGTTATTGGGCGTGGTTAGTTTGTGTGACTGAAAACAGCTGACAAGTATCAGCAGCCAAAATGCACTTGGGCTCAAACAAAATCTTGGGTGTGGGAAGAATTCATTGAGGCCATAGAATGAGACTGTCAGCCTTGAAGTGATTCTGGTTACGTCAGGCAACTTAGGAGGAGAAAGCTGCACTCTACACATATTTACATAGTGTATAGTGCAGCTGGAGCACTGCTGACTTTGCTGATGATATGGTTTGGTGCTGATCCATCAGACTTTATCCTCCAACTGTCGCCAAAGAGCGACAAACTTTCTTTTAACAGGAAGAAACCTCCAGCAGGCTGAGCCTGAGTCTTGGACTTTCAAGTTCTGTTTATTTCTTAGTTTTTGCATTGTTTAGATTTTCCCCTCTGCATCTATGCATAGTCTCTAATGGATGCATCTTAGCGTATCTTGGGGTTAGTGTCTTGCCAAAGGACATTTGGCATGCAGCCTGAAGCAG